CTAACAAAAGACATAACACCAATTTTGGAGTAAATGGCCAACATGGCCTTTTATTAACAACTCAAGTTACAATACACCAACCATTCCTTATAACAAAAACCCACAGAATTGTTGTTGGTCTTCGAAGGCACCCCAAAACGATCCGAAATGCACCTGCGGACAACCATATACACTAGGCCTCCAGCCGCAACCAACCAGCTCGGAGACAACCATACCGTCCGCAGTGCAGCACCACCACCTTCCAGTTAAACCTTGGTTAACTGGGAATGTCCCCGGGCATCCCATACCACGGATGGGTCCCACACCATTGTTGTTTACCTTCCAAATAAGAACCGCCTCCAAAGACCAACAACCGCCACCAACCATTCCCTACAACAGAAACCCACAGAATTGTTGTTGGTCTTCGAAGGCACCCCAAAACGATCAGAAATGCACCTGCGGACAACCATATACACTAGGCCTCCAGCCGCAACCAACCAGCTCGGAGACAACCATACCGTCCGCAGTGCAGCACCACCACCTTCCAGTTAAACCTTGGTTAACTGGGAATGTCCCCGGGCATCCCATACCACGGATGGGTCCCACACCATTGTTGTTTACCTTCCAAATAAGAACCGCCTCCAAAGACCAACAACCGCCACCAACCATTCCCTACAACAGAAACCCACAGAATTGTTGTTGGTCTTCGAAGGCACCCCAAAACGATCAGAAATGCACCTGCGGACAACCATATACACTAGGCCTCCAGCCGCAACCAACCAGCTCGGAGACAACCACACCGTCCGCAGTGCAGCACCACCACCTTCCAGTTAAACCTTGGTTAACTGGGAATGTCCCCGGGCATCCCATACCACGGATGGGTCCCACACCATTGTTGTTTACCTTCCAAATAAGAACCGCCTCCAAAGACCAACAACCGCCACCAACCATTCCCTACAACAGAAACCCACAGAATTGTTGTTGGTCTTCGAAGGCACCCCAAAAACGATCAGAAATGCACCTGCGGACAACCATATACACTAGGCCTCCAGCCGCAACCAACCAGCTCGGAGACAACCATACCGTCCGCAGTGCAGCACCACCACCTTCCAGTTAAACCTTGGTTAACTGGGAATGTCCCCGGGCATCCCATACCACGGATGGGTCCCACACCATTGTTGTTTACCTTCCAAATAAGAACCGCCTCCAAAGACCAACAACCGCCACCAACCATTCCCTACAACAGAAACCCACAGAATTGTTGTTGGTCTTCGAAGGCACCCCAAAACGATCAGAAATGCACCTGCGGACAACCATATACACTAGGCCTCCAGCCGCAACCAACCAGCTCGGAGACAACCACACCGTCCGCAGTGCAGCACCACCCACCTTCCAGTAAACCTTGGTTAACTGGGAATGTCCCCGGGCATCCCATACCACGGATGGGTCCCACACCATTGTTGTTTACCTTCCAAATAAGAACCGCCTCCAAAGACCAACAACCGCCCCATGAACCAACATAATCCCCCCCTCTACCTGGAGGGACCCAAAACTCACGCCAAACAGGGAGGGCGGGAGGGAAGCTCACACTCTTGCCGTCCAGCTAACTGACGCCCCTTCACAGAACCTCCCACCCTAAGATGCAGCAAAACCCCACCTACAGCAACCTCTACCAATCAGCTACCCCCCCCCCACTAACAATAACAAATCCCCCTGGAGCTACCTTAACCCTTTCTGCTCTTCCTTCCCCCACTCTGGCCTAGTCATGTATGCCCTGCGCTATTTCTTCTTTATTTCGCTACGGGCATTTCTTTAGGGGAATACAATGTAAAATTCTTGTGTTTTTTCCACAGCAGGGAAACCCAGGTGCTGCGCACAAATGCTATAGATATGCATAGCTGTGTCTGGGGCTGCATGGTATACCTGCTGAGTGGATGTATTCCCTGAATGCAGACTTTGTGCGTTTGGGCAGTATGTTCATATGGGTGGAACTCGGAGAGCACAGTTTTGGCAGCATGTGAGTAGCTTCACACAGATCTCACCCTTACGTGATGATGTCATGAGCCTCATCTACTCAATACATTTTGTCATCAGACGACTTGCTTAGGTTCGCCATATGTGAGGTCACTCTAGCAACCCTCTGTATGCAACGCACCATTTATTTCCCTCCCCCTATTTGCTTAAGGCTGAACTTTGGAATAAGTAAATATTGTCTAATTGTTACTAATCTTGGCATGCTTTGTATATTTCTTCCAGATCTGGGCAGTAATCCACTTTGTCTCTGTGCAGGAGCTTCCTGTAATAAAGACTGGTCACTGCTGTCTCTCTTTGTGCAGGGTGACTGGTCTTGTCTCCACCCCCCCCCCCCTCCTGCAGGTTTCTCTGTGCTGGAGCTTCCTCTAATAAAGACTGGTCACTGCTGCCCCTCTTTTTGTGCAGGGTGACTGGTCTTGTCTCCGCCCCCTCCCCTCTTGCAGGTTTCTCTGTGCAGGAGCTTCCTGTAATAAAGATTGGTCACTGATGTCTCTCTTTGTGCAGGATGACTGGTCCTGTCTCCACCCCCCCCCCCCCCCCTTGCAGGTTTCTCTGTGCAGGAGCTTTCTGTAATAAAGACTGGTCACTGCTGTCTCTCTTTGTGCAGGATGACTGGTCTTGTCTCCGCCCCCTCCCCTCTTGCAGATTTCTTTGTGCAGGAGCTTCCTGTAATAAAGATTGGTCACTGCTGTCTCTCTTTGTGCAGGGTGACTGGTCTTGTCTCCGCCCCCCCCCCCCCCCCTGCAGGTTTCTCTGTGCAGGAGCTTCCTGTAATAAAGACTGTTCACTGCTGTCTCTCTTTGTGCAGGGTGACTGGTCTTGTCTCCGCCCTCTTCTTGCAGGTTTCTCTGTGCAGGAGCTTCCTGTAATAAAGACTGGTCACTGCTGCAACTCTTTTTGTGCAGGGTGACTAGTCTTGTCTCTGCCCCCCCCCCTTGCAGGTTTGTGCAGGCAGCCTGTAGTGGGTGGAGACTGCTGGTTCTTTCCCTTTAGCTCTGCTCTCCGCATAGACTATGTCCAGCACAGTGATGACATCCCTATTATTTTTACAAGGTAATATCTGGGTTTGCAAAAGCATTTGGTGATCACAACATGGATTTAAATCTTTTTTTGGCTATTGAGGAATATATTTTTTTAAGTTTTGTGCCTGATGCTCATCTTTAAGCCATTAGTCAATTAAAGTAGATGTTCAATGTGTGCATACCTGGCTCCTGCCCCCTCCCTCTACTATAATTAAATTTTTTAAGAGCTTTTTTTGTGTGCTGTTTCCACTTTCTTGCCTAGACAAGAATGGTATTGTACGTGCATGCTCAGATGTGCCAAAGGGCTCTTCTGTGCTTTAGAACAAATAAGACATGCCAGTGCTCAAATCCCAATAGTTAGTACATTCATTTACATGTGAGGAGCTAAAGGGGTGTAACCGCATATTAACACTAGAAATTCTGAAGGACCCTCTGCACACTGGTATATACCCTTTCCAGCAAACATTGCAATAAAATACAGGGATATTTAGTTCACACATATTGCAATACATGTTTAAACTGCCCAACTGCGTCAAAGTAATCCCTCTATGGCCAGTCCTACTCTTCTCTACATAAATGCTACTGTGGCTTTAGGACCAAGTAGGGATGTCACCTCATCCCTTTAAAACTGAACACATATTAATTACACAGGTTCTGAGGCTAATGTAATGCAGGTAAGGCAATAGGTGAGTTTAACCCCCTTCATGCCTAAGGGTAAAACAAATCTAAATGCCTAAGCACAATTTTGCAACGTTGATATGTAATAGTAAAACCGTACATATCATCACAACTACATTGTACATCCAGGTGAATGATACCGTGTTTTTTTCAGGACAAATTTGGCTTTCATTTGGTGGTAAATGACAATGGATATCTCCTGTTTTTTTTTATTATCCAAGGAAAACTGGGCCAAAATAGTAAAAAAAATTTTTTTTAATTTAGCTGTGTGTTTCTTGTTAGTACCATAACCTACCACCAAAGAATAACCCAAAATAAATTATTCAGCTCTTGACGATCGCAGCGATACCATACATGTGTATGTTATTTGTTGTTTGTACCCAAAGTACAGCTCAGAAACAATAGTGAACATGTTGTTTTTGTCTTTTTTTTACCTAAAACAAACTGACATTGACACCAAATTTTTTTAATCAGGACCTTTGACCCTGTCCTTTAATCCTGACCTTGACCTGAACACTAACGCTGGCACTGAACTAGATCAAACCTTGATCTAGGTATTTTTTTCTTTTTATTTTTAATTTTATTTTGTAATATTTATTTATTTATCTTCTTTTTTTTTTTTTGTTTAACAAACAATTTTTTCCCCTCTATGCCAATATATCTCTCTCCTCCATTCATAGAAAGAGAAAAAAAAAACAAGGGGGCCAAGCTGTACAATGACTGATCACTGTAATAGCCAATTAGAAGCTATCACAGAGATCATGTGACCCAGAATCTGGGAGTCCTGGGTCCCGATCGTTAAACGGGACCCGTTGCTCTCAGTGACACCGCGGTCTTTGTGCTGGGAGCACGCTGTGTGGTGCACTCCCAGCACAAAGACAGGTACGCAAATATGTGGCCCCACGGAAAAAGCCCAGTTCTGTGAGGCCACATATTTGTGTTACATCGGCGTCAAGGGGTTAATTACTGCTTAACCACCTCCCGCCCGCCATATAGTAATATGACGGATGCAAGGTGGTACTATCGTTCTGGGAGGCATATGACGTCCTCTCATTCTCACCACGCATGCGCGGCTCAGGGAGCGAGCAGTGCGGCGATCGGCAGTGCGCTGTGTCCCTCAGACACAGCAGATCATCGAACACGGAAAGAGCTGAAGATGTCTGCTCGATCATGTGATCAGCTGTGTCCAATCACAGCTGATCACATGTAAACAGGGAAATGCCGGTTATCGGCATTTCTCTCTTCTCGAGCTGTCACGCTGACAGCTTGAGAGGAGAGGAGAGGAGAGCCGGTAATCGGCATTCCACGGAGGGGACATGTACACTGATCATCAGGGCACTGATGATCAGTGTGTCTTGATGATCAGTGTAGCCCCAGCAGTGTCCATCAGTCAGAGCCGGTAATCGGCATTCCGCGGAGGGGACATGTACACTGATCATCAGGGCACTGATGATCAGTGTGTCTTGATGATCAGTGTAGCCCTGTCAGTGTCCATCAGTGCCTTGTGCCAGTGCCCATCAGTGCCACATCAATGCCACATATCAGTGCCTACCAGTGCACATCAATGGCACATATCAGTGCCCATCTGAGCTGCCTTTCAGTGTCACCCATCAGTGCCAATCAGTGTTGCCAATCAGTGCCAGTCAGTGCCACCTATCAGTGTGCATCAGTGCCGCCTATCAGTGCCAGTCAGTGCCGCCTATCAGTGCCAGTCATTGCCATATATCAGTGCCATGTATCAGTGCTGCCTTTCAGTGCCCATCAGTGATGCCTGTCAGTGCCCATCAGTGCCACCTATCAGTGCCCATCACAGCAGCCTCATTAGTGCACATCAGTGAAGGAGAAAAATCACTTATTTACAAAATTTTATAACAAAAACTAAGAAAAAACTTTTTTTTTTCAAAATTTTCAGTGGTTTTTGGTTTAAGAAAAAATAAAAAAAAAACAGAGTTGATTAAATACCACCAAAATAAAGCTCTATCTGTCACAAAAAATGATAAAAATGTCATATGGGTACAGTGTTGCATGACCGCGCAATTGTCATTCAAAATGCAACAGTGCTGAAAGCTGGAAAATGGCTTGGGCAGGAAGGGGGTATAAGTGCCCGGTAGGCTTGTGGTTAATCACCCACAGAACCTGTGTAATTAATATGTGTTTGGGTTTAAAGGGATGAGGTGGCAACACTAGGACTGAGACAAGACCCTTGGCACCGTGCTACTTTCTTCCTGTTTGTGGGTTATAGTTTGCTTACCCACCTGTAAGGTAGAATGCACTGCACCTTCCATACTTCCAAGTCACGTCTTTGTTCCTTTCATAGCAGGCTGTTGCTGTTTTTTTAGGTAGACTTCACCCACTACTTTTACCAGCACACTTCTCAGCTCTCCCATCTCATTCTCCTCCTCCTCCTCTTCCTCCTCCTTTTTCCTTGTGGTCTGGTTAAAAATAACTTGATGTTAATCAGTAATGTAATGTCAGGACAGTTATCTTGTGTCATGTTCAGTGAATTGTTGGACACTGCTACAAGGGGAACATCTCTAAATTTGAAGACGGCTTTATCAGTGGACTCTACCCAAGCAGCTGCAGTGAAACTTTGTGAATGTTTCCCGAGTTATGTGGATGAGGTAATGCTTCTGGTGATTGTAGCCATATTGGTGCATTTAAGTACGGTTCGCAATACATTCTTTAAATCTGTACTAACCGTTCCGTTCTCAGGACAAACGATCAGGGTGTACGCCCTTCTTCTAATGTCCTTGCAGTACACCCTGAATCCAGAAAAAGGGGGTAACTGCCAGAAGCTTGTCCTGAAAATAGATCTTCGTACAAATGAGCCTGTTGCCACCGGCTGTACGCATATATGCGGCCTCTGATGTGTGGGCTTTAATGCCAAGCAACCACATATAGGCATCTATAAGGAGCAGCTTTCTGTGCTGGGAGTGTTTACTTGTGTTCCCAGAATAGTAACTAACAGGTCACAGAATGCTCCCGATGTCTACTTGTGATTGGGAGCTTCCGATCATGTGACCGCTGTGACAGCCAATTTATTATATTTTTATCACAGCGGTCACATAATCAGAATTTAGATTCCCTCAAAGAGCCTGAGGGGAGGTGGTGGAAGGGGTTAAAAAAAGTATTACAGAAAGTACTCAACTGTTTTGTGAATGAGATAATACACCTAATAATTGATTAATAATAAAAGAGATAATACACCTAATAAATGATTTTACTGAGCTGTTTTAGTGGCACAACAAAGTTATTTTAAGATCTGCTATTGTTAGCTGTTCTATGCATATAGCCTATTACAGTTCAAAATACGTGTTATAAGCAAATTTATTATCACAGTGATATGATTACATTTTTTTTATAGATTATAAATCATCAAAATCAAAAATGTTTTTTTAAGTAAAAAAGAACCTGTTGCTGTACCTGCTTAAAGGAATTGTACATTTTGAAAAGTTTTTTTGCTGTTCTAACTAGGTATATTCCCTGTGCCGTTTGTTTTTTTTAACTTGTGATGATATTGTAGCTGCAGTCCGTAGTTTGTTACAGCTAACTTGTCCCTATTCATCAAAGGGACAAAACAACTTCCTGTTCCGAGTCATGCAGCATCCAATGCATACATTGGCAATCACTGTGTGTGTCACATCACAAATGTAATCATTATTACTATACAGTATTTATAAAGCTCCAACAGTTCGCTCAGCGCTGTACATTACAATGGGGGACAGTACATGCAACAGTTCAGTAACAATACAATGCAAAACACGAGGAGTTTGAGGGCCCTGCTCTTTCGAGCCTACAATCTAGGATGAAGAATTAACTACTTGCCGCCTGCTAACAATCCATTTACTGTTAGCAGGATGCACAGCCAGGTTCAGCAACAGATTGGTACGTCACTCAGCACATGTGCACCGGTGTGCCCCTGGGGCATACAGCAGCATGGTCCCGTGACCACTGTACACAGCAGATCACAGTGCTCAGTACCCATTTGATTGCTATGACCATATGATAATTACATAACTGTCATGAATGCCTGCCATGTTTACTATTGTGATGCTGTGATTGTCCCACAGCTATCACATGGTACCTGGCACCCTGTACCATGCGATTAGCTGTAGGCAATCACAGAATCACAACAGTAAGGAAGCTGTCATGAATAAAAGTCATTCATGGCAGTCAAAACTATTGCCTATAACAGTGATCATCACTGTTATATGTAACAAGAGTGTAAAAAAAAAAAATCCCTGGTCACTTCCCCCCCCAGAATAGTACATAGTGACACTGACCTGCTCTGATGAAAGTATGTAAAAAATATAGTACGAAAAAAGGGGGAAAAAATAAAAAAGATATTTTTGTTTTAAATTGAATGAATTATATATCTGTTTTTAAATAAACTGTCACTAGTCAGTAACTCTGATCACAGCCATATGATGAAGCTGTACTACCCTGATAACACTATAACAAAAATAGTGAGAAAAAAAATTAATTTCTTCATTTTCCCCAAAAAATTGTGACAAAAAATTATAACTTCAACAGACTCGCCATGCCGGTTACTAAATACCTTCGACTGTCTACTTTCAAAAGGGGCATATTTGTGCTGTCCTGGCATTTTAGAGCCTCAAGAAATCAGTACTTCAGAATTGATCAGTTTTCAAATATCTATACCATAGCTTGTAGATTCTATAACTTTCACACAGACTAAATAATATACACTGATTTGGGTACTTTTTGCCAAAGAAATGTAGCAGAATACATTTTGTCCTAAATTTATGAAGAAAGATTATTTGTTTACAAAATTTTATAACAGAAACCTAAGCAAAACCTGTTTTTTTTTCAACATTTTCTGTATTTTTTAGTTTTTATGGCAAAAAAATAAAAAGCCCAGTGATGATTAAACACCATCAAAAGAAATCTCTATTTGCGTGGGAAAAAAAACGTGTTTGGGTACAATGTTGCATAATGGAGCAATTGCCAGTTAAAGTAGTGCAGTGCTGAATAGCAAACAAAAGTCCTGGTCATGAAGTGGGTAAAAAACTTCTGGAGGTCAAGTGATTAATGTATCAGTTCACTGTTTGTTTATTTTGTTTGTCTGAGTGCTTGATAGGCAACTCCTCCTCTTGAGCCCCCTCTGTCTTCATAATTAATCACATTAACCAATTTACATATAGCCAAATGACTGTCCAGTTCTGGGAGGGCGCATATGAGGTCCTCCCAGAACGTGGCGCGCACCCTGCGCTGTCAGTGATCGCTGTGTCCTAAAGACACAGCTGATCACATGACATGGTAAAAGGCCATTCACAGTGCCTTTTACCACGTGATCAGCTGTGTCCAATGACACAGCAGATCACAAAGTAAATACAGTTGCAGATTATCAGCAGCACTTTCCTCACGCTGTCACAGTGTGAGGAATGCACTGCAGATAACCAGCAAATGTCACAGAGAACACCCGCACTGATTATCAGTCCCGCCCGTCAGTGCTGTCAGTCAGTGCCCATCAGTGCCAAACATTGCTGCATATCAGTGCGGCATCATCAGTGCCTCCTCATCAATGCCCACCAGTGCTGCCTCATCAGTGAAGCCTATCAATCCCCATTAGTGCTTCCTATCCGTGCCACCTCATCAGTGCTGCCTATCTGTGCAGCCTCATCAACACACATCAGTGAAGGAGTAAAATTACCTGTTTGCAAAATTGTATAATAGAAACAAAGAAAAACTTTTTTTTTCAAATTTGTTTGCTCTTTTTTTGTTTATAGTGCAAAAAATAAAACACCCAGTGGCGATTATATACCACCAAAAGAAATCTCGAATTGTGTGAAAAAAGATAACAATTTCATATGGGTACAATGTTGCATGACCGCACAATTGTTATTCAAAGTACAACAGCACTGAAAGCTGAAAAGTGCCCAGTAGGCAAGTGGTTAATGTGATAGCTGACGTGTAGGCAGGGCCTTCCTCCCTAGCTACTACAGATCAGGGCGCAGTGGCTTGGCAGCGTTGAGTGAATGAAACGCCAACCCTTCTCTCAGCAGTAGTCTGCATAGAAGGGAGTGTGAGGAAGAGTCCATCCTGAGTTTGCTGGTTAAAAAAAAGCAGGAAAGCTGTAAATGGTTAATGTAATTTACTGGTTAGAAGCAAGAAGACCAGGGATTTCACTCAAAAAGAGCAATACAAAGAGAATAGGATAGTTTGTCATACAAGTACATGGTACAGCAGGCACATATCAGGAATATGACATTTTAGGTTTACTTAGAATGCTTCAATGGAAGCTTACTGTATAAATTCTGCCATGTTTGAAGCTGGCTACATCTTCAGTCCCATACTCAGTTATACGTCTCTGTCTCCCTTCAGGGCTCTTTCCCTATAACTTTTATATTGGTTCCTTTTCTAAATATAGGCAGTGAAACAAAGAGAGATGCAAATATACAGTATAGGATAGTTTTCCTGAAAAAAAGATAATAACTTCCGTGGAAAGAAGATATAACCTGGATTACCTGCAACATCTGTAGAATCTGTAGCACACCGCCCTGCCCTCAATGTCACTGAGTTATGAACTTGTGCCCAGTAGTGAAAAATGAGAACAAAAAACAGCGTTGGGTCCCCCCTATACATACCAAGCCTTTTCGGGTCTGGTATGAATTTTGAGCAGAACCCCCACGCTAAAATTAGGAAAAAAAATGGCATGGGGGATAC